CTAACTATATACTGAACTGACCCTTTGCTATAGGTGAGTCCTGCGTTGTAGCCTCTCCAGAAGGGCACTACCTAGCTTCCTAGGCACATGCCAAGTACATGCAAATCACATACAAATGCATCCAAGCCTCCCAGACCTGGTGGAATCCTGAGCCCCAGCTCACAGGGATCTGTGTGGCTTGGAGAAGGTCTCAGGGGTGGAAGGATGGGCTTCAGAGGAAGTCACCTTCCAGAACAGCTGCACATCCACTGTCCTGGGGTCCAGCTGCCTCTGCCGCCACCATGTGTCCAGTCTGACGATGGGGGCTGTGGATGGAATGAGAGGAGAGTGTGCCAGTCAGGGAGGGCCCTGGAGGTAGGACTGGGTCCTGATGGCTGCTCCCAGCCCCTCACCACCCACTTACCCTGTTCTGGGGTGGTCAGCTTCAGGCTGGGGCTCCACTCGCTCCAGTGGCCAGGCAGGGGGTGGCGGATGCAGCGTATCTGCAGGGTGTAGGCTGTGGATGGGAGGAGCCCGCAGAGCTTATAGTGGAAGGTCCTGGAGGACAGGGGGCCCACCTGGTGGGGGAGCATGGCTCTGAGCCTGGATTACTGTGTCCTTCAGGACCAGCTCAACTTACCCTCCCCTCAGCCACCCCCATCCCAGGCTCTTGAGGTTGCCTTCCACCTCACCAGGGCCCAGCTGGCTTCTCCAAGCTGGGGCTTGTGGCGCAGCTCACAATTCTGTTCTATGAACAAGCTTGGCTTCCATAACTCCCAGTGCAACTGTAGACAGCCTGGCTGGGGTGGGGCCACCTCAGAGCTGGGGCCCAGGGCCCACAGTGTGGGGGGTTCCAATTTCACTGCAAGGGGAAGGGTTGTCAGATTCTTCCTCTACCCCATTCTTTAGGGTCCTGCCTTAGGTCCCTCTTATCTCACTGTCTGTGGTTCCATTTTTCTTCCCGAATTTCCATCCATGGGGTCTCTGTGTCTTTTTCTTCTGTGTGTCTCTTCATCTCTATATGTCATCACATTTCTGCGGGTCCGTCTCTAGATACGTGTCTGTTTCTCTCTAGGTCTGTTTCATACTCTCACCCCAGGAGCCTTTGCCCTGGTTGTTCCCCGGGACACTTTCCCTCCACGTATCCAGTGGCTTGCTCCCTTATCTCCTGCATGATCTTCTCGAATGTCATGTTCTCAGTGAGGTCTTCCCCGACCACCTTACTGAAATAGCATCTGCCCCGTCCTCCCGTCTCTCTCCGTCCCTTCCCTGCTTTAATTTCTCCATCATACTTATCATCAGCTGACATTCTAGTTTATTTATTTTGCCCATTAGAATGTAACGTTGCAAAGATTTTTGCTCTTTTGTTCACTGCTGTATCCCTAGCACCTAGAACAGTGCCTAGCACACAATGGGCACTTCAAGAAGTTGGCTGAAGGATTAATGACTGTCTCCTTGCCTCTATGTTTCTTCTGTGTCTCTGTCTGTGTCTCCGTAGTTCTGTCTCCAGCTGCATCTCGCTTTGTCTCCGTCTCTCTTCTCTTCCTCTCTATCTCTAGGTCTTCCAGTGTCTTTTCGTCTGTCAGTGGGTCTGTGTTTCCCTCTCTGTGCCTCTCTGAGTCTGCCCATTGTGGGGGCCTCTTCCCTCTTCTGCACCCAGTGTCACCCACCGACGTCCATGGGATCAAGGCACAGCTGTGGGGACACACTGGTCCCCAGCACGTTCTCTGCCTGTACCCAGATGCCCATAGTCTGGTACAGCTGCAGGTGTTTGCGTGGGATGGAGCAGTGGCTCTGCCCGTCTTCAGACACGCAGTCAGGGATGGTTTCCTCTTGGGTCTGGCAGTTGCCCCGGCTCCTGCCAATAGGCCAGGCTTGAGTGTTAAGCAGAGGAAGAAAGCAAGGCTCCCTTCTCCCTCCCATCTGTATCTCTGGCTCCTCCATCCCCCTAGTCCTACCTATGCCCCAGCCAAGACCCAAAAGAATGGGGCTGTGTAGAGACCCCTACTCACTTAAAGCTCTTCAGGGTGAAGTTGGTGGACAGGTGGGTGTCAGGTCCTGGCTCCCACTGACAGGTGAGGCAGTTGGTTGTGAGGTTCATGAAGCAGGACAGGTTGTGGGGTGTGAACGGAGGGTCTGTGCATAGGGTGGGGAGAGTGAGCACTTTGTGTAGGATCTCTCAGAAAGCTCCCACTGAGACTAACTGGTTTAGTTTCCCTGCTCTGGGTCCTTCCCTTTGGGGTCACTCTGTTTATTCTCTTGTCTCCATGCAGCTCTGGGGGAAACTGACTCGGGCAGGTACAGGGACAGGCATCGCAGAGCCTCCAACCTCCTCAACTCCACCCCCTTCCACAGTGGTAATATAGTGTCTGCCTTTTCATTCTGGTTCTGCCATTCACCAGGTGTGTGATTTTGAAGTCACTTAACTGCTGTTTCCTCATCTGTAAAAAGGCGATAATGGGACTATACCTACCCCCTAGGGTTATTGTGAAGGCTGAATGACTCACTATCTGTAAAGTGCTCCAAGCAGTGCCTGGCTCATAGTAAGTGCTGTGTAAGTGTTAGCTCTACTATTATTGATTCTTATACAGTAACTTTGGTCTTTCTGTGTTTTTTCTTATGCATTGGCACAGCACACACTCCATCCTTTGCAGTTAGTGCAGAAGGCTGAGACTGGGGTTGGGGAGAACCTGGGAGCAAGCCCATCTGGTAGAGAATGTCCTTCTTGGACATACCCTCCTGTGGCTAGAGTATTGGGCTTACTCGGTGGCCAGATAGAGTAGCAGTTACTATATTAGCCACACTGCCTAATATAAATCTTGGCTCCATCCTTATATTTGTGAGCATGTCACCTACCATCTTTAAACCTCAGTTTCTTCATCTGAAAAATAGGGCTAAATAGCACTACCCACTGGTAGGGAAGATGAGTGCTTATTGAGCAAGAGCTCAAGGAAGGATAGCTCTTATTAGTATTGGCAGGCGGGCATTGGAGGCAGAGCGGATGGATGGCTGCAGGGACTTACAGCCTGCCTGCAGCTCAGCCTGGTCCACCATCTGTAGGCTGTTGCTCCAGCGCAGATAGCAGGAGAGAAGGGCCCAAGGATTGTTGAGGTGGGGCAAGGTGATGATGGATTCCTGGGTCCCATCTGGCAGGCGCTGCTGCTTTCCCCCAGGCAGAAGCTCTGTTCCTAGTTTCCATAGAATCTGTGACTCTGGGCCCAGGTAGCTGCAGTTCTGTTTGATGATGCAGGAGGCTGTGATGGCATCCCCCAGGCGGACGGTGGAGGCTGAGAGGCTGATGTGCCCGCACCCCTCCAGGCCTGGGATGGAAGAGAAAGGGCCATGAGTGACTCCTCTGCCTGGCAGAGCTGGGCTATAAGCATTTTTTAGACTTCTTGCTTCACTCCCCAAGACATGGGGGCTGAAATGGGGAGGTATGTATGGGAGCTGTGAGAAGCTCTTGGGGAGGAGATAGAGATAGTTATGTGTGGGTAAAATGTGTGGGTATATATCTATATCTATATCTAATCTATATATAATCCTGATTTGTAGTATAGGCTGCTTTCCCTGGTGAGATAGTCCCAACATGTGATTTCAAGCTACCAGTGCGACATCACTGAATGTGAACTTGGGAAGAGATGTGTACAATCAGCTCTTGCAAGCTAGCTCCAGCACACTACCAGAGAGAGACTAGTCTCCTCCCCGGTGCCCTCCCCAAGGATGGCGAAAGCAGTGATTAGAATGATAAGAACCCCACAGCCACAGCATCCTTTTCAGAATTCATATCTGATTGTTTTCCCATCTCAATCACAGCGCTTCGATGGCAGGTGATTGCTCCGAAGGCCATATGATTGGATGGATAAAGGCATGGGGGTTGGAACTACACTTCATAGGTTTAGAGCCTGGTCCTGTTGCTTATTCATTATGTGGCCCTGGTATGTTACTGAGACTTTCTGTGTCTCAGATTTCTTGTCTGTAAAATGGAGATAAAAATAGTCTCTGCCTTGGTGTTGCTGGAAGCATTAGATGTGATAACATGTGTAAGACACTTAGAACAGTGCCTGACAGGTGAGTGTTTGCTGCCAGGGTTAAGATAAAGACCCAGATCCTTCTCATAGCCCTTGTGGCCTGGTGTCTGCCTAACCTTCCAGGTCCAGCTCAGACCATCCTCTCTCAGCCCCAGTCACTCTGGCTTCTTGCTGTTCCTTGCAAATGCCATTCTCTCTCCAATCTCTAGATCTTTATACCTGCTGTTGCATTTTGGGGTACACCTTTTCTCTCTCCCACCCTTCTTTCACCTGGTTAACATTTAGGCATCTTGAGGGGAACGAGACCAGGCCCTGACCAGCGAGGCTAAGCTAAGCCCCCTGAACTTTCCCTAAGCTCTTATTATCCTTTGTAATTATGGAGTCATATGATTATTTGCTTGTCTGTCTCCCCAGCTAGACCATAGGTTCTTTGAGGCCAGAGCCTTGGCTTTTCTCATTACTATATTCCCAGTGCCTAGCACAGAGTAGCCCATGGTGAATGTGTATTGAATAAGGGAGTGAGCACTGCACTTTGCCTGCCAAGCCTTCTCTCCTCTCTCAGGTGTTCTTCGGCCCATTTTGCTGATGGGGATGCTGAAGCCTTAAGATGAGGAGCAATTTGCCCGGGGTCACAGAGCAAGTTCATGGGGCTCTTACTGCTTCATAGACTCAGAATTTCAGACTGGAAGGAACCTTGCAAAACTGTTTACTTCGAAACTCCACCTGATGCTGTGTCCTCAACACCAGGATTAGGGTTGCTTGTTTTAGTGGCGCCTGCCAGCTAAGAAGGTGTTTTTTTTTGGGGTTTTTTTTTTTTTTTTACATTTTTAAAGGGTTAAAAATAAACAAAACAAAAACCAAATAAAAACATGCAACAGAGACTGTCTGTGGCCTGCAAAGCCTGAATATTATTATCAAAGTTTGCCGACCCCTGCTGTGCAGCATCCCTGTCAATCCTGGCCTCAACTTTCATACCCCCAGAGATGGGAGGCTCGTCATCTCTCAAGATAGTTCCTTTAGTCAAAGAGCTCTGCCTGGGCTTCCTTACTTCAGGATGAAACCCGCTTCCTTGTGGCTTCCACCCTGACCCTCTGCTGCCCTTGAAGACTGCATGGGACTCAGACATTCCTTCTGTTAGCCCGGCAGAGATTTGCAGATGAGACCTGGGCCCCCCAGGCTGGCCAGCCCAAGTCCTCTCACCATTCCTCATGGAGGAGCCTGGCTACACCACATCTGTGGCCCAATCTTGATTCTCTTGGGATTCTCCAAGAACCCCAGGAGCAATGTGGCAGGGCAGGGAAATAATTCTCTCCTCCACCCCCGATATCTCTCCCCAGAACTCCCCTCTCCCCAAGGCACCCCACCCCTGGCCGCACTCACTTCTGGGGAGCAGCAGGATGATCAGGGCAGCTCTGGTCAGGCTCCAGTTTCCCAGCCCCGCCATAGTGCCAACTTGGTGTTCACCTGGAGGCAGAGGGGGGTGGTTAAGGTCATGGGAGTCAGAGCTGAGCTTAATCCTTGCTTTGCCACAGTGTGGCTTTGGCTAGGTTACTTGACTCTGTGAGCCTCAGTTTCTTTGTCTGCAAAATGGAGGTAACAGCCTATAGTACATAGAGCTTTGGGAAGAAGACATGAAAATCATGCAGGCCAAGGGCTTTGCACAGTGTGCCTGGCACATAGGAAATGACTATGAGTGACAGTCACTGTTATTATTATACTTGCCTTCCAGGAGAGAGCAAGGAAAGGAGCAGCAAGGAATAGCATTCTTCCCCCTTCCCATCTGTCTTAGCCGGGTTCCTTCCATAAAGAAGAGCCTGAGATGAGGGCTTGCATACAAGTAGTGTATTTTAAGATGATCACAAGAAAAGAGTGAGGGAATAAGGAGAATGAAACAGGTAAGGAGGGAAAGCCGACACAAGGGAATGTTTTCGAGCTGGTCACCTCTATAGACAACTGAGACTCAATCTTGCTGGAATTTTTCAAGGAGCCGGGTAGAACATGCCTCAGAATTGTCTACCCAAGGGACAGTTTACCTCTTGAATGGGAGGGAGGATGGGAACATTTATCCACTAACCCTGTCCCCATTGGTCAAAAGATGTTTCTTGGGGTGTTAACCCCTGGCACATCCAGGTTGCACATGCATGAGTATGAGACAGCTTCTCCTGGTGAGCCATGCCAAAAGCATCAGAGATGCTCTCTAGCAGAAAGAGACAACTCCATATTGCAGCTGAGGCCAGGGGCTGTCAGGTTACACCTGTGGGAAGCTGGCTGCCACGGTGATGGATGGAGAGAAAGGTGGACTGAAAGGATATCTATTACAGCCCCAATTTTGGGCACAGACCTCTGGGGTCAAGCATCTTGTAGTCATGGCAATAGTGCCTGAGTGGAGGGAGCATTAGTTCTAGTCTCAGGAAGAATGCAAAAGTTTCCTTTTAGAGGAGCTCCCTTAGCTGGAAGTTCTGTCCAGAGTGGGCAAGCAAACCCCAAACCCCAAGAGGCCAGGCTGGGCGTGAGGTGTTGGCATGCTTGGCATCAGTCCCTGGTCCCCCACGTAGCCCTGGGTGCCCCAAGCCCAGCTGAGTGGGATCTGGGACCTGTTGGAGCATGGTCTCCTCTCTGGGGGCCAGTATGCAGAGAAGTCGGGAGCCCAGTTAGGGGAGCTCCCCTAGCTGGAAGTTCCCTGCTAGGGGAGCTTCCAGCCTAACCCTCCACTCTGCTCCTGCTGAGGTCTTAGGCCAGACACCTGATCCTTTAGCCCTAATTGACACTCTTGGTGGCAGGACAGTGGGAATTGCCTGCCAATTGCTGAATGTAATTGCATGTACATTCACGAACACACACAGGCAGGTGTCCCAGCAGATCCCCTGTGCTCAGGAGGGAGAAAGCTTCTCTCCCTTTTCTCTTCCTCCTAGACAGAGGTGTGAATAAGAACTGCCTAGACACCCAGGCTGTTCCTGTTGGCAGGGGCCTTACCCAAACCCCTGGCTTATCTATATATATTGCTGTGTCAGGATACCAGGTGACTGTTAGCCCATAAGTCACTTTTTTATAAATTAGGAAAAAAGCACCCCTTCTTCTGGACAGATGCGGCCTCACACTAGGACCTGGCAACTGGAGAGCAGGCTGGATTTCAGCCTCCACTTGCCCCTAAGCCGGTAGCTTTGTGCAGTGAGAAACGTGTAATGTGTACGGTTTAGAGCAACCCCAGTCTACCAATCAGTGGTTAGCAACCTTTTGACTATAGCACACCTGTTTGATTATCCATTCCCTCCCCTCCCCACACACACACTTGATGGGGAAGATTTAGCCTCTTTGGCTCAGATTTTGGGATACATACAGGTTTCTGTATCCATGCGCTTTTTGATTATACTCAGCCTTGCTGCCCTTCCACAGGTCAGCTTCAGGCCCAGCCTGTGCCCAGTGAAAGACCACTTCACCACTGGCTTCTGTCCAGAGTGGGCAAGCAAACCCCAAACCCCAAGAGGCCAGGCTGGGCGTGAGGTGTTGGCATGCTTGGCATCAGTCCCTGGTCCCCCACGTAGCCCTGGGTGCCCCCAGCCCAGCTGAGTGGGATCTGGGACCTGTTGGAGCATGGTCTCCTCTCTGGGGGCCAGTATGCAGAGAAGTCGGGAGCCCAGCTATGAGTCAGACCACCTGATCTGAACCCCACGTCTGCCGCTTACCAGTTTTGTGACCTCGGACAAGTTACTTCGTCTTTCTGAGCTTCAGTTTCCCCATCTGTGGAAGAGGGACAACAATAGCACCTGCTTCTCAGGGTCGTGGTGAGGATGAAACGAGATGACCTATGATAAAAGCACTTAGCATGGAGCCCACATGGAGGAAGCACTCAATAACCATGTTATTTCCACGCACCACGAATCGCGGTACCACCTAACAGAACCCAGCATAGCTCAGCGCCCCCTCCCCTGCCTGCAGGCTGCACGGTCACAGCCTCTAGGATCGCCACCTCGCTTTTGTCTCTGTCATGCCGTGTAGTTTCAAGGCCCCATTTCTGGGTCCCCTACTTCCAGCTCCTTGGCCCCTCGGGCTCCCCTTCAATGCAGCCACCTCAGCTCTCCTGACTCCGAGTCCCGGCACACTGTGCTGCCCCTGGAGTCGCTGCATCACACCCCTTTTCTAAAGCTCCCCTCTGTTTTCTCCCCACTCAACCTTCTCCCTTCGCTCTCCCATCTCCTGTCCACGCCCCTCTCTCCCCTGGCGTTTCTGTGGGAAGAGGAGCTCAGGGAGGAGGGCGCTGGGAATGAACAGAGGGAGAGGCCGTTCCAGAACGAAAGAGGCAGAAGGCAGACAGCGTAGGACCGTAAAGGACACACACAAGCCGAAATGCCAGAGACCCACGGAGATAAAGATTGGGGCAGGAGAGACATCCAGAGACAAGGAGAGAAAAGAGCCCGAGAGACAAGGATGCGGACACAGAGACCGAGGCTCTCGGAGGCTGATAAGCAAGAGACACTCAAGAGAGTTTATGATTCAAGAGAGAGGGAAACGTGACAGACAAAGGGAGGCACGGAAAGACTCTGAGACAGAGAAACTCAGGACCCATGCAAGCCAGAGGGGCTGAGGAGGAACAGCGAGTAAAATAGACGGAGATGGAGACACAGAGAGGTGGGGACGCACGGGTTCTGAGAGAGAGATGCAGAGACGGTAAACTACTACGCCCTTCCCTGAGCTCGATGTTCCCAAAGAAATGTTCCCTGATACAACTCCTAGAAAAAGTGGGGGCATCCCTGGGAAAAGAGACTCAGTGTCCAGGACTCCTGGTTCCAAGGGACAAACCCTAAAAGCAAGAGCCCCTGGTCGCAGGCCTCGGTCCCCTGAATACAGGCACTCGGCAGAGCTGGGTCGTGGCGGGAGAGGGGAGTGGTTCTGTGGCTCCAGGTCCCTATCGAGGCCAAGGCTCAACTCTCCCTGGGGCTCCCCTACTCACGGTTGGAGCCTGCAGCCCCACAGCCGCTTCGCATTCTTTGTCTCTGCTCTCTTTTTCAGGCAAGTTCCTGAAAACAGCCACAGTCCCGCTTCTCTCCCCAGCCCTGTCGTTAATGGCTCTGCCTCTGACAGGCCCAGGGGCTGCGGATTGCAACACTTGCCCAGCCTCCTTCCCTCCCTTGCTCTGTCGCTGGGGTACAGGCAGCTCCTTCCTCCCAGGAAGGAGCCTGGGAGGGAAGCTGGTGAGGCCAAGGCAGTCTTCCTGCCTCGGGGGTCTTAAAGGGGCTGGGGGATGTGGCAACAATGTCCCCCTCCTCTGTCTCCGGATTTCCTGACCTCAAAGCTTTGAGGCCCTGGTAGGGCCCAGGCTCCAACCCGGCTGGATGCCATTCCCATGCCCCTCTCCCTAGGGGAGCATCGCTCAGAGACAGACCCTGGCTCGAAGTTTCACTCAGCTTTAAGCCTCTTTTTAGCACCAGCCTTGGGGCCCTGATCCTCACAATACTCAGTGGGGTGGCCTTCAGGTGACAGGGTATTTTGTAGCACAGTACCTTCCTCATTACTCCCCTCTTTGCTGTGTATTCTTCATCATTGCCCGTAGGCCAGACAATAGAGAAATGGGGACTCTGGGACCACAGGGGATGACCTGTGAGGCTTAGGGTCTTCATACGCTCACCAGAAAATAGTAATGTTTACTCACAAGGATTCTGCTAACCGGAACATTTTTTGATTGAGTGAAATAGACTGCATTTTATGTCTTTCATTGTCTATATCCATACTTCTCCTGCAGTTGTTTTTAATTTTATGTGCATTTTTCTGAAGAAGGTTCAGACCGTTCATAGTTTATTGGATTTATGACCCAATAAAAGTTAGGTACTAACTGACTAGCAGAGTGTCTATAGCATACAATCCTTTTCGGAAAAATGGGCTCTGAGTCTCGTGTGACGGGGCAGACGGGGATGCAGTTCTGGTTCTGGATCAAAATACCCAACTGTCTGCAGCAGCTTCTCCAAGATGTTTCATAGATCCCGCAGGCTCATTAAATCTCATTGACTCTTCTTTCAAAACATATCCAGAATCCTAGCTAGACAGATATTCACTGTCAAGTTCAACTGGGCTCCATGTTTGAATATTTTCATGCTAAAAAGTTGGAAAATATGAAGATTACTTCAGTCTAGATCATGTCAGTGGCCCCTCCCTGGTCTCCCACGTCCATTTATCCTTGTCCCCCACCTGTCTGTTGTTCCCTTCAGCAGCCAGTGTGATGCCGATTAAACAGAAGTCAGTTCATGTCAATCTCTCTGCCCAAACCCCTAACAGCTCCTATGTCAGAGTCAAAGTCAAAGCCCTTTCAATGATCTACAAGGCCCTATTCAACCTGGGCCCCTCCTCCATTCCCTCCCTGATCCCTCTCCTGTTATTCTCCTCCTCGCTGCTCTGCTCCAGCCATTCTGTTTTCCTCCTTGTTTCTTGAACTTGTTAGGCTCACCCTTGCCTCAGGGCCTTTGCACTTGCCGTTTCTTCTGCCTGGATTCTTTCCCCTGCAACTAATGTTATAGGTCATTCCCTCCTCTTCTTCAGGTCTTTGCTCAAATGTCATCTTCTCATCAAGGCCTTCTCTAACCACCTTTTAAAAAAATTGCAAACCGCCCCCCCCAGCTTTTTTTCCCTCATATTCCTTTTCACTGTTATTACAGTAGATGCTCCCACCCTTCATCTTCCACTAGAACAGAAGCTCCGTGAAGGCAAGGGTTTTAGTTTGTTTTATTTAAAGCGTTATCTGCTGCGTCTACAATATTGCCTGTCACATAGTGAGCATTCAGTACCTATTTGTTGAATGAACAATTGGATGAATCTTCTTCCATCCCACCACGCCTGTCCCCAAACCTCATCTTGATAAATTATACCACTATCCCCGCTCCCCCAGGTCACCCAACCAGGGACCCAGGAGTCACTCCTCACACTCCTTACTCCATACTCCCACATCCAATCAGTTCAGAAGGATGGAGAATGGGCCTTTTGTTCATCGTTCAGAAAACAAGTCGTAGAGCCAGTGCAGGGGTACAGTGGTGTGTGAAAGCAGTGTTAGTTCCTGCCTTTATGGAGCTCTGTCTTGTCCACAGCTCTGAAATCTGTCTCCTCTCCCTGCCTTTGTCAGGTCTCCCCATCCTTCACCTGGATGCACCACAGCTTGCCTGCTGGGCTCCTGCTCTGGGCAGTCTCCTTCCACTCCGAACGCCCCAGCACATCTAACCATGCTGGTCCCCCCTTTTCAGAGTTCCTTTGTCCCATCCTAACTCCTTAACTGGACAATCAAGATACTCCGTGATCTGGCCCCACCTCCTGCTCCTGCCTTGTCTGCCTCCACTTCTCCAGATGTGTCACTTTATGTGCTAATGGTACAGAATTCGCTTGTGTTTCTCTGCCTGTCTCAGGCTCTGGAAACCCTTTCTTTGCTCTTGCTTATCCCGTCATTTCTGGCTGGCCAAATCCTGCCTCTTATGCAGCTCAGACATCCAGCCTGTGGAGTCAGGGGGAGTCAGATGCCCTCCCTCCTCTGCAGTCCTGTGATACTGCAGTGGACCGTTGGCTCTCTGCCTCGTCCATTAAACTGTGAACTCCTTGAGGGTGGAAACCACGTTCTCATCTCTGGCTCCAGTCTTAGCACAGGTGCAGGCCACAAGGAGGATTCTCGGTGCACATCTACTGAGCTGTGGAATCTTGGAGAAGCTGTTTACCCTCTTTAAGCCTCCGTTTCCTTATCTGCCACAGGGATAGCTCCTCCTAGGGGTTTTGTGAGGTTTGAATGAGCTGTGGCAGGTATAGAGCCTCGCATGTTAACCAGCATGTAGTAGGCATTCAATAAAATTCCTTTCTTTTTTCTCTCCTGCATAATTCAATATTTCAGAACAAGATTTCACTGATCTCATCTGTGTTTCATTCTGCACCTGTACCAGGAAATGGAGCTGCAGCAGCTGAAATGAAAGTTAGATTTAAGGAAGACCTTTCTATAGGAGAGAGGCGTTAGAGTGTAGAGAGCGGTTAAGTGCGGGGGTGAGGAGTCAGACTGCTTGGGCTTGCCACTTACTAGCTGTGTGACCCTGGGCAAGTTGTTAAACCTCTCTGAACCTCAGTTTCATCATCTTTAAAATGGGGATAATAATAGTATCTGCTCTACGGGATTCTTGAGAGAAATCGATGAAATAGTACATACAAGCCCTGTGGAACAGAGCCTGGCACATAGTACATGCTCAACAAATGTTTACTTGATGAGGTGAAAAGCACGAGACAGATGTGGAGTCATCCCCTCCACGCACACCCAGTGTCTGCTTTGTAGATACTTCCTCCTCCAGCTCTCCTGCTCCCGCCCCCCCCTTCCATCCGACAGGGTGTCCTCTGTAGGTTGGAAATCCCAGTCAGGGAGCTTTGGTGAAGGAACCCTGTTCTTAGCAGCCCTGCTGAAGTTTCTGTTTCTGTTATTTTCTGTGACGTGTGGGTCCAGAAGGGCCCAGGCAGAGGCCGGGGGACAACCAGGGTGAGTGTCCGGAAGTGGAGGCCGTGCTCGTCTGCCAGGGGCTGGTTTGGCTGGAATACAGCAGTCGACTGAGATTGTGCAAACAGGTCATTGTGCAAACACGCCCCTGTGTGTGACCTCGATTGTGCAAACAGGTGTTTACTGGAGGCTGCTGGGCTTAGGCTGCCTGCTTACAAAAAGTGCCTGAGCTGTTGACTCAGAAAGAAACCAGAATCTGGACACTCATTCTTCCCTGAACATACCCTGAACTTTCTGCCTCCCAGCCTTTGCTCAGGTTGTTCTCTCTGCCTGGAATGCCCTCTTCTGCCTCCACCTCTACTCTTTGAGATTTCATCCGTCCTTCAAGGCTCAGAGCAAACACCACTTAATCTTTCTCCGTAAACTTTTTCCCTCATGTGCATATTCAAGGCATTTGATATATCTCTAAAGTCACTGGTCACGTTTTACCTTATGGCCCTTTCTGGACTTTGAGCTCCCTGGGAAGGAGGGCGTTTCCTTATTCTCCTCTGAAAGGGTAGGAAACTTAGGCCCAGAGAGGGAAAGTGACCTGTTCTGTGTCACACAGCCAGCTCGCAGCAGAATGGGGCTCTAAGTCAGGCGTCTGCACTTGCTGCCACATTTCGCCAGCTCTCTTTCATACTTTATTCCCCTCTAACCCTGGATCTTTTACTCCAGCCCCGGTTTGTTTCTGGGATCCCAGCTGAAATTTGAGAAATGAGTGGGATTTGTACAGAGGAGGGAAGGGTATTCTGGGCAGGGGAACAGCAAGAGCAAAGTCGTGGAGATGGAATGGGAAGAGTGTGTGTGGAGACCATAAAAGGTAGGAAGAGGAAGAACAGGCCTGGGAATGGTGGGGCGAGGGTAGGGGCAGGCCTGCATTCTACACCCAGAGATGAATGACATTGACCTTGCACGACCTTGAGCAGCACATCACAGTCTTGTCTCTCATATCCCCATCTACCCCTTGATACTCCACAGATACCCCAAACTAAACACGTCCCCAACTGAGCTCTCCCATGTTTTCTCCTGAAAAGCTGTTTTTTTCTGTGCTTGTGAATGGCATCTGGAAACCTGGACTCGGCCTGGACTCCTCCCTGCCCTCTATTCCCCATATCTGGCCTGTCACCCTGATTTGTGGATTCTGTCTCTTCTCTCCCACCTCACTGCCATTGCAGGGGTCAGGCCACCCTCAGTGCTCTTCAGGACGATGGCAGTGCCTTCCTCTGGGTGTCCCTGACTTTGTTCCTGGGATACTGCCCTTGCTTACTCCGCTGGAGGGCTTCTTCCAAAACACAAATCCTAGCATGTCACTGTCCTCCTGAAAACCCTCCATTGGTTGCTCGCTGCCCACTGGGTAAAGTTCTAAGTCTTCCTCATGGCCTAATCCTTGATGCTGGAGCCTCCTCTCTTCCTGCTCCT